TGCTTCTTTTTGTGAACTTTATGTGTCTTTGTGGTTTACTTTTTGGGTGTGGAAAGTTGTTCATCTAAGCTTCCGGTTCTCTCTTTTGATTTTATATTGGAGTGTCTAGATTGCTTTTGTCTTCAGGAGTTCCCAGAGGCCCAATTCAGGTGAAGGTCAGATGTTTTCAGGCTTTCTCCTAAGGTCCGGATCCCTCCAGGAACGATTTTAGCCTCAGGAATTTGGGGGCAGGACTGGCCTCAGAGCCTGGCCCAGGAAAGATGCTGGTCTAGGGCATCTGGTGGCTGTGCCACCCAGAGATGAAAAGAGAGATGGGGGCAGGAAGAGGCCCCAAGGACTCCTGGGGATTGCACTGAGGAGCTGTGTTGGTCTGGATGCAAAGGATCAGGAAGAGGAAAGGTCAGTCCCTGCATCCCAGAAAGAGGCTGGTGGGTGGTGCAGGCCCAGGGAAGCAGAGGGAGGTGAGGGTGGTGCCAGACCCAGAAGCAGTGCTCCTGGGGCCCAGAGAAGGCACTACATTGGTCTGGATGAAAAGGATCAGGAAGCACTATTGGTTCCCCAGGTGTCAAGGCCCCAAAGACAAGGAATGGGGCAGGGCCCAAACTCGGAGGAGAGAAAGGCCACTGAAATGGGAGGATGAATGAGGCTCGGGGAGTCAAGGAGTGGAGGGCACAATGGACTTACCCTGGAGACAGGCCTGAGGGTAGGAGAGAGCGTTAGATCACTTTTTGACAAAATGATCATAGGTGACTATATTAACCCCACAGAGCCAAATTCCACCAGGCATTTCTTTGGGAAGCTGAAGACTATGAAGCGATGCCTGAACTCCCCACAGATACTGTTGAGTGACTTGAGCTCAACCCAGTCTCCAGTAGAAAGCCACAGGAGTCTTCCCAGGCAGCCTTTTTATGACAGACTTCTCTGCAAATGTGGAAGGAATATTTATATTTATAGATGACCTGAATCTGATAAAATAATCTGGTTCTAAAGGATTTTGACAGACAGAAACATAGGACAAGAGTGAGTTAGATAAAATATACTGGTAATTCTTATTAGATCCTGCTCAGTTAAGTTCCCAAATCAACAAGTGGGAAAGGAATGGAATGGGGAGATCTTGTTTGCCGTCAGAGCCCTCATTCAGCCACAGCCCAAAGGTAAATAGGACAACAAAAAGACAAAGTAACTGTGATCGTTAATCGTGATAGTCAGTTGAACACACCTAGGAAGAAGGAACCTTAGTTGAGGAATTTCCTCCATCAGATTGACCTGTGGGCATGCCTATGAGGCATTTTCTTGCTTTCTAATTGTTGTAGGAGGTCCCAGCTCACTGTGTATAAGAAAAGTAGCTGATCAAGTCATGGGAAGCAAGCTAGTAAGCAGCATTCTTCTGTGGTGTCTGCTTCAGATCTTGCCTTCAGGCTCCTGTTTGAGCTCCTGTCCTGGTTTCCTTCAATGATGGATTATACCCTGTAAGCTGAAATAAACCCTTTCTTCTTTAACTTGATTTTTGTTGTTGTTTTATTACAGCAACAGAAAGCAAACTAGAAGAGTAACCAAGTGTAGCCAACTGGTTAGATAAAGCCAAATTAGTCCTCCCCTGCCCTGCACTGGCAGGCCAGCCTGGAATGGCATGTTCAGTTTGGAAGATATTACATTCTATGAGAGCTAAAGCAGGCTGGCTAGGGCTCAGAGGAAAGCGGGGGTTAGACAGACCCCATAGAACACAAAGAATTGTAGAAGTAAAACAGGATGTTCAGTCTGGAAGATGGTGACTGTTGGCAAATACTTAGCAGTGTGCTGTACAAAACTGCAAACTGCTTCTTCCTGTCTTCCCTGAAGAGGTAGAATAGGCCTGCTCAGGGAATATGAGGGAAGAATCTCTAGAAAAGACCGTTCCTACCAGTCACAGCTGTGCCATGGTAGGGTTAGTTTTCTTACAGTTAGAGCATCCTTTGCTTGTGGAAGTGCTTAGGGCTCATGCTGAAGAGCTAGTAGGTACTGATGGTGCAGGTGTCTAGGACCTCTCATCTCAGCACTTTGAGCCTGATATGAGCCTGACCCTCCTGTGATGGATGCAACAGTTAGCTTTCCCTTTTCATCATGGGCCTGCTCCTCTTCAGCCACCAAGAAAGGAATTCAATGTGTGTGTGTGTGTGTGTGTGTGTGTGTGTGTGTGTGTGTGTGCACTTGCATGCTCAGCTGCATACCTATTTAGGAATAGGAAGAAGAGATGGAAGGGCAGAAAACAAAAATGTCTAAGAAAAGCACAGTGAACTAAGTACAGACTCAACAGATCTATCTGCTCTCCCATGCTCCCCAGCCAGTCAGTCAGTGCCCATGATGTACCTTCTGAGGAGCTCTAAGCAAGAGAATACTAGGGAGGCCTCCTTGCTACAGTGACCAAGGTACCAACTATGTGTCCCCATGGCTTTGGAGCCACCTGCCTCTCTATTTCCTACAGGAGTTAGACCTCTGAGGTCTTCCTTAGCCCCATCCATGATAGCCCTGTCTATAGTAACCACAGGGGAAGGCCAGGAGAGACCACTGGTTCTTCATTGTAGTCTTAGAATAAGAAAGAGAGGTGAGCAGAGAGAGCATCCAAGACATACCAGCCAAGCCTGCAGCCTTGGCCCTCCCCCTCCCTTGATCATCCCAGGGAGCGAAGAACCTTAGACCCCATATGTGCAACATGGACCCATTGCAAAGCCTAAGGTTAAATCATAATGACAACTCTGTCTTTTCACAGGAAAACCCTTAAGATCCAAAATGAGACTAGATCAAGACTCCTCGATATTAGTGTCTAAGAAGTCTGAATCGGAAGGAGGTATCATTTATGATGATTTTAAATGACCCATAGTAGTTAATCTGGCCGCAAAAAAAGTAAGGAGCACACCATTAGCTTGACTCTAGCTAAGGCAAGATCTCTTTTGGCCATACTAGACTGGGGCCACCTTAATCAAGACCCGTGGTCAAGACATCATCCCAGGAACTTAGTGTCAAGACTCAACTTTCAGGAAAGACACTGAATCAGAGTCAAGTGCACAAGCATTTAAAAAAAAAAAAATCCTATGACTGGAGGCCAGTAAGAAGAGAATGAATTATCCATGTGTGGTTCATCCAGTGACATTTATTATACTCCTGCTGTGAACTAAGCAGTATATTGAGATGGACAAAATGCTCTCAGACTCCTAATGGGAAAGAAGCAATAGGAACAAGAGGAAGGGATCGACACTTAGGGAGGATATGCTCACAGGCCCCATATTGCTAACGGGCCAGGAAAGCCTCTTTTCCCCAAACGTGATCTTACCCTATGTCATCCTCTCCCATCCCCAGCTACTTAAGAGGTGATTTTTAAATCCCTTGGGGACTAAAGGGTCTATGACAGTTCTTTATACCACACCATGCTGGTAATAATCATGTCTCCTATTCTTTTCAGCATTTGAGGCCAGTGAAACAGAAAAAGAAGAAGATGATTGTAAGAGTCTAACTTAATCTATTATTTAGAGATCCCTAGAGCATCCTGGACTAGGACTGTGTCCCAGGTGATGGCCCCCTTGCTACTCTGGCTTATACCAAGTTCTGGAGAGGATCTGGGGACATGCTGACACAGAACCCCAAAACCTCCTGAAGAAGGAGGAGAAAATAGAGTCTCCAGAGGGAGACAGTATGACCTACCTGGGACAGCCAGAATTCTGTCTCCATATTCAAAGTCCTGGTTCAGGGACTCCCACATTTAAAGAGAGTCGAGTTGTTGCTGGGTCCTGAGGTCAGAAGAATAGGGCTTTCCAGGGATGTGTGACCCTTACTCCCTAGACTCATCCAGTGCCACCTAGGTAGAAAAAAGCTTGGCATTCCTACACTTGGAACCCTTTATGCTTTATTAGGTGTTTGTTGAGGAGGGCTCAGTTAAATCCTATGAGAGGGAAAGACAAGAGAGAATCCTTATGGTGTCAGAATCCCAACTTGTACCGCACCACTTCACAGAACATGATTAGTGACCCAGACCCATCTTCACCAGAAAAGAATTTAGGGACTACGCTTTAAGTAAGGGGTGGGGAATGTCAGATCTTAAGTATACACACACATTGATTGAATGCCCACACTCACCCATGACTTATCTAACAAACCCTTCCAAACTCTTGACTACCTTGCATCCTGCCACCTGTCTGCAACCCCAGAAAGGTACCTGTTAAATATAATTTTCTCCATTTTATTCCACTTCCATCTGTGTTTTAGAGAATTGCTGGTCAAATGTTAATGTGCCTAGCAACACAGTCCCCTGAGATCCTCTTTGAATGTAGATTCCAAGTGGCTACATCCAGGAGATACTGGCTTTCTAATGAACTCTCGGCTGCTTTTGATGATCCATAGATGACAGTTTTCATAGCCAGACTTTCTAACAGCTTGTGAATTTGAGTCCCAGTGGCCAGCCTGGCCTGGCCTTGGCCTCTCCTACCTAGGCTAACAAGGAATTCCCCACAAAAAGAATGGAGGGGTAAAAACAGGTCTAAGTTTCATCTAGCTATTCTTTGATCATTGGGGTAGGGTTGCCCATTGCTTAGAGCTGGCCCTGGTCTGGTCACTTACTGATTTTTTTTCTCCCTCTCTTCATCTGTCGTCAAACAAAAGCTTATTTAGTGACACAGCCAGACCAACTTTATCAGAGACCATTGCAATAAGAATAGGGAATGCAGTATCTTGGCAATGGGATTTATGTAGTGAGAGAGATGGGGTTCAATTACAAACACAGCCTTGACAAGTGGATACACATCTAAAGAGCAGGGAAGGGTGAGTGGATGGCATATGACTGAGGGGGTAAAGGGGATTCTTGCTGAAGGCAGTCCAGAGTGATCAGACACCCAGCCTGATAGACATCTGACCCAGTGAGGAACCTGCTCAGGTATTGAGGTGATCAGATCTCAAGATGAGGAACTCCTGCTAAACTTACTCAGCAGGGCGCTTGCTGAAATCAGCTTTTACAAAGAAATGCACAGATGGTGCCAAGGAGAAGCCTCAGGGGTGACTAAACTTTGACCAAGCAAAGATCTTCATCTTTGTAATCTAGAAATTTTTATATCAACTCTGTGGAAAATATACACGGCTTAAACATCCATCTTGAATTCAGAATGTGCAATTCCGTCAAGAAAAGCCATCAAGAAAAGCCTTAGCAGAGAGGCACTAAGACAAAGAAAAATCAAAGAGAGGGAAAAGTGACATCAGAAGTGGCAGGAGTCTTATGAGATAGGTCCACTGCTGGCATCTGACCTGACATACCCCGAGTCTACACCTTCCACAGGGCTGATAATCTCATCAGAACAGAAGCAGAGGCCACAGGAAACCCCTAAAGGAACCGCTAACTAGAAGTAAAGCTTTTCCTTATTCAGCCTATTTGCTGCTGCTTGTTGACAGTGCTCCACCTGACACTGGATGGATGAAGCGCAGTGATGCTAATATGCTTAATTATCACACTGAATCCAGTGCTGCTGAGCACCTGCTGTTTAGCATTCAGGGATGCCAAGTTCACCTCCTTCTAGCAATAAACACACACTTTCTCCTTCAATTAATTCTTCATTATTCTGTAAAGCCTGTTCAAATAAGCAGTCATGGGTGATGGCCTCATGCATCACCTCTGGCAGCTATGCAAGGTAGTGACCTCACTGAGCAGAGCATCTCACCCTCCCCACCCGCCTCTCGGTCTCTCAGGCTCCTGCCCATTCATTCATTTCTCCTCTCTGATGCCACCCACAAGGGCCTCCTGAGGGCTTGCTTGAACTCCCACAGGTTCTTGCTGGGTTTTCCTAAGTGATCTTCCAAAGTACCACAGGAACATGCAGTATCTTTAGAATCACACTGAAGTGCTGTTGTCCTTGCTGTGTCAAGGGCCCCAGTGGTGGTGGCATGCATGCCCCTGTGGGAAGTGAGGGAAAAGAATGGCCACCTGTGAGTTCTCAGCCACCACAAGTTTGCCAGGGGCAAACCAAGGCTGTGCTTAGGTGGGCAGACAGAAGGCACCTAGTAAGTCTCCATCCTGCCAGGAGTATGAGCAAGTCAGGGCCTTTACTACAATCTCCAAAGGGAAGCAGTGCAAAGTTTAACATGTGAGGATCACAAAGAACACCCCCTTCCAGACCCCAGAGGAATATTAAATGCCCAGAATTAAATAAGTTAAGCCAGCCCTGGGCTCTCTGGCTGCCCCAGTTTGAAGGAGTTGGTGTTATCCTGAAGCTGAGGCAACAGGCCATTGTCATGTCCCTGGAGACCCAATTATGAAGCCAGAGCCATGTCCTCTAAGTCTACCTTAAGAACCACACCTTCCCAGGAGTGGGGATAGAGGCTCGTGTTATAATTATCAATTCCACAATTCAATTTGCACCCCTCTCCCCCTGGAGACTTGAAACCCTTTCTCTTAACCCTGAGTCATCAGGCTGGGGCTGACCCTGGGGTACAAAACACGTGCATTATTTCTGGTAGTCGCTCTTTGGCCTGGGGAAATCTTCTCTTCTGTTTTGATTAGTAATAATGAGCTGTGGGCGCTTTTAGAAATCAGCACATTTGACAAAACTGGTGGGAGAGTGAGAGAGTTCTTGAAATTTCTGAGATAAAAATCGTACTCAGAATAAGTCTCCCCTGAGAATCTACTCTAAAGTCCTCCCTGTAGTCTAGCAGTTCTCTGACAACTGGCCCCTGTCCCCGACTCCCGTGTCTTCTCTGCCTTCTGATCCTTTATGCTTCACCCCAGATATCCACTGCCCTTGCAGTTTGCTGCCTTGTCTAAACACGCCTCTCCACTTTCACAGAGGGACCTTTACACCTCCTAACCCCCAAACATCTGCCTGCTCTCTGCCTTCTTCACTGAAACATCACCTTGTCAATCAAGCTGATATTCACCAGCTACCAGAACACACCCACAAGTCAGCACCTGAAAAGTGACCTATACCATTCCAGTTTTATTATTACCCTCCCCCGACGTTAGGTAATCCGGTAATTTGATGAATTTGTCTCATTGATGACATCTGTATTTTTATTGATGTGATGAGGTTACTGTCATAAATCTTTTTCTTTTCTTTTTGGGGTTTCTCCTCCAAATGTGCCTTCCAAAACTGAAAGCCTCAGAAGACTTTTCTCAAGGGTCCTTTGGGGACATCATAATGAATGAGGCTGGTGGAAAGCGGGAAGAGGACTTCAGAGACGTAAGTGTAGGGGAAGATTTTCGGCCCCCACCTCCAAACAGTAGGACAGGTGGCACTCACAGCTTCTGTGTAGCTGCATGAGGCTCAGAAGAGCAGGGCACACCTTGCAGTCTTCCAGAGCATTCCTTGGGACAAGCAGGCTGAACAGGGTAGCTCCCATCACAAGCATGTCACCATCTCAGGGCTCTATCACTAGAGGACTTCAGACAGATATATCTTATACCTTAATTTAGCTAGTACTCTATCACTGGATATTTTTTCCAACATGTATATATGAATATGTATGTGTATGTATATATCGGGGGGAGAATCTGTATCCTTAATGCAAAATATATTGACAGCTATGTGATGGCCTATACCTATAATCCCAACACTTGGGAGGCTGAAGCAAGAGGATGGTGAGTTTGAGTCAGCCTGGGCTATGTAATGAGACCCTGTAACCAAAAAAGTATTGGCAAGTTTCCCTCCAAACAAGTTGTGCTGCTTCCCTTTTCCCAAGGGGTCATGAGAATGTCCCTCCATCACACTGTCACCCATGAGAGTGGTCACAGGGACTCATCTGGCAGGGTAGACGTGATGTGTCACTGTTGTCTGCTGCATTCAGACTGCATTATGACAGATGTGTGTCTCTCTGGGAATGGCCAGCTTACGTTTTTTAGCCACTCTTCCATTGTGTTAGTTCCTTATCCTCCTGATTTGTAAGAAAAGTTTTTACATATGAAAGAACCTAGTACTTTTTCTGATACCTGTGTTGTAAAGTTTTCTTCAGTTTTGTGTTGCAAATTCCTTCGCAGTATTCCCTGTGGCCTGGTCATTTTTCATTTGTATATAGTCTTGTTGATCAATATTTTTCTCTTACAGCTACTGAGTATTGGTTCATGTTTATTAAAGGTCTTTTCATTCTCAAAAATACTTTATAATTCACTGGTGTTTTTCTTTAGCTATATAAGGAATCTTTTAAAAAGCATAACTGGGATTATTTGAGGAAAAACAATATGACATACGAGATAAGGTAAAGTCCCCAGCAATAGCAAGTTACTCTACAACTGACAGAATCAGTTTTGCACTTTTAAAAGTTACTCTGTGGCTTTGCAGATGGTAAATTACAGCAGAGAAACTGAGGACAAAGAGAGTAATTCCACAAGAGCAGAACGGATGAACAGTGACGCTTAGGGACACATCTGCCATAACACAGGACATAGTGATAACTCAGCAGACTGGGAAGGGGAAAAGGAGACGACACACTTGCAGAATAAGCCAGAAAGTTCCATTTGGGACACACTGAGTGTTAAGCAGCTGTAAGATATCGATATGAAGTCCAGTTGAAAACCCAAAAACAGTCTGTCTAGAACTAGGAGAGAATTCTTGGCTGAGTATTGTGATACGGAATATCAGTTTACTAGGGGGTCCTGTCACAAAGCACTGTGATCCGAGTGGCATGAAGAACCACAGTGTATTGACTTACAGCTCTGGAGGCTAGAAGTCCATAATCCAGGTGTTCAGGATCTTCGTCCATCCCAAGGGCTCTGAGGCAAGGATCTGGCTGGGCCTCTCTCTTGGGCTTGTAGATGGCATCTTCTCCCATGTCACTTCATCTTCTCTCTATGTCTTTTCCTCAGTATCCAATATCAACTTTTATAAGGATGAAGGCTGAGGTGGTTAATGTTGATCAACTTGACAGGATCTAGAATCACCTAGAAGACAAACCTCTGAGCATGTCTGTGAGTGATTTCCCCACCCTAAGAGTGAGTGACACCATTCTGTAGGTTGGGGTCCTGGATTGAACTGAAAGGAGAAAGGGGACTGAACAGCAGTGTTTATCCCTCTCTTTTCTCCAACTGTGAATGCACTGTGACCAGCTGCCGCACCATCTTGCCACTGCATCTTCAAACTGTGAGACAAAACAACCCTTCCTTAAGTTGCTTTTGTTAGGTTATTTTGCCCCGGCAATGTTGAAAGTAATTGATCTAAAGGCCCACTACTTCAATAGCTTCTTTTTAACTTGATTATTTCTGTGAAGGCCCTGTCTCCAAACAAGGTCACAGTCTAGACTCTAAGATATTGGGAATTAGAATGTGAATGTGTGAATGGATGGAGGAGGAGACACAATTCAACCATGACAGAATCTTTACCATATATTAGTCTTGAAAATAAAGAGGATTATACAGTGTTATTTTCTTACAGCAGGCAGACAATACCCTCCTTCCCCAGAAGCAAGCCCAGAGTACATTGGTTTTCCTACATGGGCCTGAGAGAATTTGGCTATCAGCAAGAACAGTTTTAGTGAGTGCGATGGAATCCAGAAAAAATAACATGATTAAAAGGGGTGATACCATCTCTTGTTTGCCATCTAATTGCTATCAACTGAAACTGAGCCCCTATGGTTAGGGTGTAGAGGCCAGTGACTCATGAAAATCGGTTATGAAATAGCTTATGAGACTCAGGGCACAAGCAATGCTGCCCTAGGTCCACATGGTGAGGTACAGTACAGAGTTGGAGAACTCCTTTTCTTCTAGCCTCTGTACCACCCTATTGCTCAAGGACACACATGTGTGTATCAGTCAGCACAACTTGCAGGACTTGGTTCTTGTCCTCCACCTCACTGAAGCAGCGTCTCTCTTGTTTGTTTTGTTGTTGCTCTGTGTACTTCAGGCCAACTGTCTGGGTCATTCTCTTGTCTCTTCCTCCCATCTCATCATAGGAGTGCTGGGATTACAGATGTGTGCCACCACATCCCCTATTTTATGTGGGTGTCAGGGATCAAACACAGGTCATCAGGCTTGAGCAGCTCCCACTTTTACCTGCTTAGTCATCTTTCTGACCCTGAAAGATTCTTTAAAAGAATTCTTTCTCTGTCATTCTATACCCTCACACACACATAGTATATATTTTTGTAATAATATACTAAAATGTCATCTGGCACAACTAGAGCCAGAAAAGTGGTTAACTAACAGATCATTAATCTCCAATTTCTTGCATATTTAATTCTTTGGTCTTTTTATAGTCTGTTCCCAACTCCTATCAGTCCGTGTTTAGGGAGATTCTCAATGAGATAACTACTCGCAATGAATTAGAAGAAGGCTTGGACATCTCTCTGAATAAACTGTTGGAGGGTGAAAAGAGAAAGAAGCTGGGAATCTTGTGAGTAACTGAAGGCAGGGGCGGGGGCCTGGTCAGTGGGTTCTGGGAGACCAGAGATGGCAACAAAGGGTAAATACTGCCAGTGGGGATGAGAACAGAACTAGGCTCAAGCCAGACCCCTGAGTCAGGAAACAGACCCAGGCCAGACACAAGGGCATGGGTAACAACCAAGAGTCAGATAGACGCAATGATCCAGCTGTCAGACGAAGATCCACAAGAATTTTTTTTGGGGGGGGGGGGGGGCGGTTATGAGTCGGGAAGAAAGGCAAGGAGTGACAAACGGTGGAGACGCAGGGCAAGAAAAGTCCCAGAAGAACCATGAACTTATACAAAGGTTTAGGGAGCAAGTCTCAGACCCAGTTTAAAAGAGAGTCAAGGGGCCAGAAAAAATGGCTTACCAGGTAAAAGCACTCGCCTTGAAGCCTGAAAACCTGAGTTCAATCCCCAGGACCAACATGTTGGAAGGAAAGAACCAGCTCCTGCAAGTTGTCCTCTGACTTCTACATATGTGCTGTGGAATGCACAAGTGGGCACATACACACATGCGCACACACACAATAAATTAATTAATTAATAATAAAGGAGAATCAAGGGGACATCAAGATCCTTGGCATCTACCAGTGAGCTCCCTAGCGTCCTACATACTTCATAGAGTTATGAGCTTCAGTGACTTGAGGGTCATGATGAAAGCTCCAGGCCACAGAGTAGAAAATAAGTTTAATACACACCTGTTGTGGGCACCATGTTTTTCCAGCTGGCCATGCCTCAGGTTGTGAATATTCCAGAATTCCATTTGAATATCCAGCCTGTGATGCAGGACATGCTGTCAGCATAGGAGCTGGATGTCCCCTTAGCCACCATCAGAAACCTGGAGAGCAGGGTGGGGAGGGTGATGGATCTATGGCACACTCTCCAGCTGTGATTCTGGCATAGGCTATGAGGATAGGGCATCCTAGATAATCGGGGGTGAGTTCAGACATTCACCAAGACGATACCAGATAGACCACCAGCAATTTTGCTGTGGGCTCACAAGCAACAGAGCTCCAAGTCTCTCCAGAAAAGAAGGGAGTAGTTCAGAACAAAACACAAAGAGCTCCCAAGAGTGAAATATAAATACCAGAACAGTGGTGAGAGGCAGGAGACCCACAGGTGATGCAAAAGAATTCAGACAGAGCACCCGAATCCCCCCCCAACAGTGCAAGAAATGGAAGCAACCTAAAAGTGTCTCTCAACTAATGAGTGGATAACGAAAATATAATACATGGGAATGGAGAACTAGCTCAGCAGTTAAGAGCATCAGCTGCTCTTGCAGAGGACCCGGGTTCAATCTCCAGCACCCACATGGTGGCTAAGAACCATATATAACTCCAGTTCCAGGGGAATACAAGGTCCTTTTCTGACTCTGGTCATTGCATTACACGGGTGCCCTTATACACATGAAGGCAATACACTAATACACATAACATAAAAATAATAAAATATTTTTAAAAAATAAGATGTTGTACATTTACACATTTACTCAGTAGTAAAGACAAAATCATGAAATGTTCAGGTAAATGGATGAAACTAGAAGCTGTTATACTAAGTGAAGGAACACAGACTCAGAAAAACAAACAACATATGTTCTCCCTCATTTGTGGACCCTGGCTCCAAATCCTTATATGTGAGTATGTGTCCTGATATAACTGCAGGAGCCAGGAAAATGGAAAGGAACCAAGGAGGTAAAGGAAAAGAAGGAGCCTGAGAGAGAAGAATAGTAGAAGACAGGTGTTACTAAGGGAGAAATGGGACCTTGCTCATATGAACCTACAGCAATGGTGTCAGCACGCACAAGACCCATGAAAACTCAGACAAAAACTCAGCACAGAACTGTGGAAATGGGCAGTAGGCCCCAATCTTAGCTAAAGAACTATTGGAAGCTGATTACTGCTGGATGAGGAAGAGCTGATCTTCTTAAAGGAGGGGTGCTCTCTGATAGACCTCAGTAGATGAACTTGCACTGATGGATGTCTGGAGACACTAACTTGATTGGGCAGGCCTTAACACAAATGACAGAATGTATGAATTCCATTGGGGAGGCGGGCTATGGGAAGTACCAGTGGGGAAGGGGGTATAAATATGATTAAGATGTTCTGTATGAAATACACAAAATTTCAATTAAAAAAATTATGTGCTGGATAGTTTTAGTGTCAACTTGACACACCTGGGTTAAGGGAGCCTCAATTGGGGAATTGCGTTCATCGGACTGGCCTGTGGCCATGTCCATGGGGCACCTTCTTGATTGTTGAGTAATGTGGGAGGGCCCGGTCCACTGTGGGTGGTGCCACCCCTGGCCAGGTGGGCCTGTGTTGCATAAGAAAACAGGCTGAGCAGGGAGGGGCCAGGAGAGCAAGTCAGTAAGCAGTGTTCCTCCATGGCCTGTGCTCCAGCTCCTGCTTCCAGGTTCCTGCCCTGAGTTCCTACCTTAGGCTCCCTGATGAACTGTGACCTGGAGATGTAAGATAAATAAACCCTTTCCTCCTCAAGTTGGCATTGGTCAGCGTGTTTTGTCACAGCAATGGAGAAGAAAACTAGGACAATTTACAAAAAAAAAAAAAAATTCACCAAGACAGAGGAAGTAGAGAGTTTATTAGACACCTGTGGTAGTTTTGTAATGGGCAGGACAGTGGAGAGCGACTGTCGCACAGAAGCGTTCGAATGGACTGCTTTTATTGGAGGAGGGGGCTTCTACCTGGACAGTGTTTCAATGTCAGTGTGCCCTGGAACAATGGCAGCTGGGGCTTTTCACTATTGACAAGAGCCTTATCCTGAAGACAATGATGGTCTTGCACTGAGTAAGAATGGCTCAGCCTAAGCATCCACAATAAAGAACCCCCAAGCTTTCAGATCAACAGAAGCAAACGGCACGTAAGACCTGGGTCAGTCATTTGACTGTCTGGGTGATTTCTCCTCCCCTTTCTTCCTATTACTCTATAACAGAAGCTCACTCCCACCCAGTCACACTTAACAACTACTTCCTGGGCATCTGTTGTGCATTAGGCTAGGCTCTGGGGATATAGGAGCATATGTCACACAGCTTCTGCCCCTGAGGGACTACCTGGTAGGGATTCCACTTACTTGCAAAAGTGAGCAAAAGCCAAGAGAGGAACATCTAGATGGCTTTAGGTGCCTCTAGCTGAATCCTTTTATTGGAGTTTAACTCCTGTAAGTACTTGAAATCTTGCTTTCATTCAAAAAAATACACCTCTACCTTCACCCACTGCCACTCCTTGGTCCCTACTTTTCTTGGGTGGAAATAGAACATGTGACTTCTCCAATTTCATTTAGAGTGCTTTCAAGTAAAGTAAATAACATTTGATTCAAATGACCACAAACATTCATGCTAAATCATTACTACTTCTTGTATATAAATATATATAGATAGCCATCCACTGCTTTTTGTTAGATAAAGTAGTGCAGTCCTCTCCAGCAACAGTATTTGCTTCTTCGAGTCGGTCTGGATTCAGAAGGAATCTGAACTGAAAACATAAAGCCTGTCTTGGCAAAAGGCCCCTCAGATCTAATTAATCGTGAGATGCTGACTCTTTCTGATGCCCTCCCTTTCAAAGGGGCTCTCATCTGAGAACCAGGAAATGCAGTTACCCCGGAGACCACCCTTGTTTGGGAATAAAACAGTTGGAGTCATTGAAATGCCAGGTGACTTGCTTTGTATATTGGCATGAAAGCAGGTAAAGGACTTGCTCACTGTAAAAAATGGGACCTGGTGTGGCTTTCAAGGTAAGTCATGTTGAGTGAGCCTGCTTGAAAATTTCCTACCAAATGCAAAGGTGTTTCAAATAGCTCTGTCCAGTTCATGGACAATACTGCTTTTCCAAGCTATTTCCGGATGTAACCCTCTTGGGGATTCAGGTAAGCCATAGAAAGTCAGGCTACAGGAGCTTAACTCATCCAGTCATACTTCCACTTGGCCCCTGGCCACAAGATGACCCTCACTGAATTCATTTTGAAAGGTTTGGGGTCAGTCCAAGTACCCATGATGAAGATCAATTAGAGACTGTGTGAAAAGCACTGAGTGGATGTGTCACATGCCATGCCTTTACTCTTGAGCACTGACCAAAAAGGAATCTGCATCAGACAACAGAACCACCAATCCAACTTTCCACACTGTAAGCCTCCACAGAATCTAGTCCCACCACACTGTGTACCATGATTTGCAAACATGGATTCTTGCTTTTTACAAATGGTTCGTGTTCTTTTCAGGTTGAAGAAAAATTTTGAAAGATACAAAGAAACAATTTTATGGGCTCTGAAAAAACGTGAAGGTTAGTACCATCTACCAATCTCCACCCATGTCTGGTCTCATGTCTAAAATCTATTATAGCAGCATGCACCATAAAGGAGGCAGAAATATCTGTTCACTTATGTACCTACTGGACTAGTTCTGCCCTAGATACAGGGGACAGAGTATCAAGAAAGACAGGCACAGTCTAGGACCTCACTGGGCTTATTTTGGGAGAGGTGAGAGAAGACAAGAAAGTAAGGAATTGTGTACAGAATAGTGAAGCCCTATCATGGGCAAAGGGTGGTATGGGCACACACAGGATGGGGTCTACCCCTAGTTTGGGTCTAAGGATTCCAGGAAGAAAATGGTCTTAGTTTCAGTTCTGCTCCTGTGATGAAATATCCTATAAAAAGCAACTTGGGGAAGAAAGGATTTATTTGGCTCAAAATTCCAAGTTACAGCCCATCATTTTGGGAAAGTTACAGAAGCAGAACCGTGAAGCAACTGGTCACATGACATCCCATAGTCAAGGTCAGAGAGAAACAAATCCCCCATGCTGCCTTCTTGGTTAGTCCTCTCTACTCTTAAACAGTCCAGGATCCAAAACCAGGGAATGATGCTGCCCACAATGGGCTGGGGCTTCCCATATCCACCCACAATCAAGACAATCCCCCCAGACATGCCTAAAAGCCAACCTGATCTGGGTGACTCTTCACTGAGACTCTCTTCCCAAGCGATTCTAGGTTTTGTCAATTTGATAGTTCAAACTAACCAGTGCAGTAACATTATGACAAAATTGAGGAAAGGGGGAAAAAAAAAGAAAAGAAAAGAAAAAACCTTTGCCAAGAAAATGAAGGCATTCAGGTCCCAGCTGCTAAGGTTTGCCCATCGTGGAGGTGACCAGCTTTGTGGTTGGAATGTTACACAGCTTGGGTCATGGGCTAAATCATCAGGCTACTTTACCAAGAAACTAAAAACCAAAACATGGACCCTTTCAGGTTACTAGATCTGACCAGCATAGAAATGACAGTTGTTGCAATCTGTTATCAGTCTAAGGGCTATAATTGGGTTCGTTTCCTCCACCAATTAAAGAATTAAAAGGCAGGAAAAATCTCAGACACCATAGGGAACAACAGGCAAATAGGCTTTACTGAAAGATAAAGAATGACATCCATACACACCCACCCAGGAAGAAAAGGCTCTCTACAAGTGAAGAAAGGATTTAGAAACCAAAAAAATCCAAAGACCCCAGGAGGGCTTGGGAGTTTTAAGTGTTTTTGCTAGTAGGGGGCAGGTCTCCCTTCCCTCATTTTGGATTGGTCAGCTTAAAGAAGAGACAGCCCATAGGTTACAGTTCTGAGCTGCCAGGTCCAGCCTGGATGTTACCTAGACTAGTCTGGACTAATTGAAAAGAAACCTGCTAGCCAGAGGGGGAGCCCCCAGGCCTTTGTCTCAGACCAAGATGAAGCAGGTAGTGTTCCATTTTTATTATTCATTGGTGACCCTGTTTGCTTATTAGGGATTTAGTCCCTTACACAAAACCCATGGGAAACATCAAACCAATCCAAGTATTCTTTCTCCTCAAACCAGGCTATAGCTATAGCCTCTGGTTCCCACCCCAGTGCCCCCATTCCCTCATAGTGTGAGGCCCAATCTAACTGTTAAAGAATAACACTATGGGCAAAATTCTTTTTTCTTGTGGTACTGGGACTCAAACAGGAATGCTAGGCAAGCACTTTCCCACTGAGCTACATCCCTAATCAAAATGCAAAGCCTTTTTTTTTTTTTTTTTTTTTGAGAAAGACATCAATACACTGACCTTCTGCTCAATGGCAGGCACTCTGCCCGCATGTTTTGTAATTCCATAGGTGGTTACAATTGCAGGCAATAGTTAACCCATTTTATGGAATCTGGGGCGCAGGTGCCTTCATCTTTTCCTTAAAATTCTAGTCTCCCTGACTCCTATCTTCTGTCTCTCAGTCCTTTCTTCACAATGTTTCAGCACATTCTTTCTAAAAATCTTCACTGGACACCACCCACCCCCAGCCCCCTTCCTCATACAGCTTACAAGCTTCTCAATTTTGCCTCTCCAGACACTGGCTTTGTTGTACTAGTCCCTAACTGAGTCAAGCATCCCCTGCTGTAGAACCTCAGTGTTTGCTGATGATCCTGCCCAGGATATTCCCATCTCCGACACTCTGTCACTCACTCCCTCACTTCAGTCAGGGCTCTGCTTCAATGTTAACTTCTCAGAATCATTTTCCTTTGCTACCCTTTATAAAGCAGTGTGTGTACTCTCTCTCTCTCTCTCTCTCTCTCTCTCTCTCTCTCATGCACACATATCAATTTCCATCCTCCTTGCTCTTTTTAGTCATTCTTCACAGCACTCATAACCAGGTGGCATATTACATATTTATTATAAAATGCAATAGCATCCATTTCTCCTGAAACAGCAGTGATTGTAGCACCTCTAATAGCAAGAATAGTTCTTGGCACATAGCTACAAAATAGATGCTTATTGAATACAAAATAATGATCACATGATGGTCTAGCACCACCTGCTAGAGACAGATACTCTCTCAGAGTATCTGTCTCCACTAACTGGTTCCCACTCCAGCCTTCAACCACACAGCGCATTACAGACTTACCTTCTCACAGAAGTCACTTTGGCTTCAAAGCCTTGTTCAGTTTCTTCTGTGAGCTCTCATGGCAGCCTGTGCCAGCCCCAATGGTTGTATACCCAGGGCTCATTTCACTGACTTACCCTGACCCAGGTGCCAGGTGAGCCGGTATCCTCAGCCCCTCTCCAACCCAGAGCATATTGGGTGATACCACAGACAGCAAGACTCCTTAGCATGGTTTTAGTCCCTACAACTCCCAGTAGCATGTTAAACTTACCAATAGGCATGGGAAAGGAGTTTGTCCTTCCAGTTCTATTGTTATAAAAATGGACAAAAAAGATTAACATAGAAATGTGTTGCTATGAAAACCAAGCTGAATACTCTTTCAGAAGCACAATAAGAAAATAATTTTTTAACCTGCTTTGAGCTAAATGTAATCCCAAAATAGAAAAAAAATGGAGATTGTGTAGAATTTTTTTTTTTTGGTCTTCTTGAGACAGGGTCTCCCTGTAGCCCTAGCTGGCCTGGATTTGCTATGGAGACCAGGCTGGCCTCAAACTCTCAAAGATCTGCCTGCCTCTGCCTCCTGAGTGCTGGGATTAAAGGCATGCACCACCACTCCCGGCCTTCGTAGAATATTTTTAAGTAATCTTATTCCATATTCAGCCTATTTAGAAACTGCCAAAATTGAAGATATTAAGAAACAAATATCGCACTGGGAATAAGGCCCAGTTGCGTAGAGTACTTGCCTAGCATGCACTAAGTCTTGGGTTTGAACCCTAGCACCCAAAAAACTGGGAGTTGGGGCCCATGCCTATAATCCTAGCACTAAGGAAGATTAGAAGGTTAAAGCCAGTCTGGGCTCCATGACATCCTTGTAGGTTGATCAAAAATGATCACAGAGCTCCAGTCATCAGACATCAAAAGAAAAACTTTTCCCTACATCTTAAATGACATGTTAGCAGACATTTATATTTTAAGTTACAATAACATGTTTAAGGTACAGTCCTTTTTCTGTCAACCCCTTGCTTTAGCCTGTTTTCGTGTAGCAGCCATGTCTTTGGCTGAGTGCCCTGCTCTTTGCTCTAGAGTTGGCATACTACCTAGTCAGTCCTTGTCTCTCCACCAAGGCAGTCTTCACCACTGTGTTCATCCTCTAGCTCTGTGGTACACATTAGGCCCTTCGTGATACATGTTGAGTGAATAAATGGAAAGAGGCACAGATAGCTGAGATTTCAGTCCCACCTTTCTGTCTTGCTCCTCCTGCTCCCTGGTGGCCTCTTTTACCTGGAAAGTGGCTGATGCCCCAAACCCTGGGTACCCTGAGAGTTAGAACCCAGCTTCCTTCAACTTCCCTACCAGCATCATAATTGATGTAGTCATTGTATTGAATGCAGTTGTCATGTACCTATTGAATGGCAGGTCAGAAGCCAACAGAGATCACCTTCACCTATCATGTGTCAGTGTGGAAGCAGCCCTTGGAGCCTGAACCAGAAAAAGAGAAAAAAAAGCATAGTTCTGCCAGTCCTGCTCATTTTCAGAAAAAACTGGACCTAGATGCAGAATGGACACAGGAGAAGATGAAGGTAACGATGCTGGTGTGCTGGTGCACTTCCTGGGAACAGGCTTTGTTTGGGGTCAGGTGAGCATACGCCATCAGAGAGCTGGAGAGGCCAAAGACATGAAGTAGACACAAGAAAAGCATACTCAGTATGTCAAGACAGCTGCCTACATAGGTTGTTGGAACACTAACTAGGGTTTTGGTAGGACTGGTTGAGAATCTTCTCCCTGCAGAACCTGTATTAGGCAATTGGATGTGGGGAAATGGAATAAAGTAACTACATAGTATACTATGTAGGTTCCTTGCTACTAGATTAAAATCAGTATTTTAGAAAATTAATTACACAGTGAATAAACTAGTACATTAGTAAAGTGGAATGCTATTTAATACTAAAAAGAAATGAGCAATCAATTCTGGCATGGTACATGTCCCTAATTCCAACACTGCAGAGGCTGAGGCAGGAAGAGCATGAGTGAGAGGTCAGCCTGGGTCACACACCAACAGCCTGCGTTACCACCTGTCAGAAAGAAAGAGGTGGGAGGTAAAGAGTGACAAAGGGGGAGAGAAGGAGGAGAGAAAAGGGAGGATAAGATAGAAAAAGCAGAGAAAGAAAGAGGGAGGAAAGGAAAGAGGGAGGGACGACGTGAGGAAAGGAGGAAGAAAAGCAGGAAGGGGAGGGCAGGGCAAGGACACGAAAAGAAGATGTAAGCTGTCAAGCCATGAAGAGACATGGCGGCAACCGACTTCATCTTACTAAGTGAAAGAAGAAGGCAATGTGAAACGAAAACATGCCATAAGATCCAACTATCTGACCTTCTGGAAAGGTGGCAGACGATGGAGACCATAAAAGGGTGAGGAGTTGCCAGGGGCTAAGGAGAATCGGGGAGTAGGCAGAACAGGATTTCAAGGCAGTGAAGCTGTTCAGTATGACACCATAGTGATGGGCACATCATTGTATATTTGTCCAAGCCCACAGAAGGAACAACTCCAAGATGAGCCCTAGTGTGAATTATGGATTTGGAGTGACAGTGGTGTGCCAGTACGAATCACTCTTAGAAAGATACTGGTGGACAGGCTGGGGCTTGGTGATGGGAGTATATGGGAATTTCCCATATTTCCAATCAGTTTTACTTTGGCCTGCTCTAAAACATGAAGCATTTTTTGAGACAGGGTCTCCCTGTATCCCCAGCTGGTTTGGAACTCACTCTGTAGACCAGGTTAGCCTTGATCTCACAGAGATCTGCCTTCCTCTGTCTCCTGAATGCTGGGATTACAGGTACGCGCCAGCATGCCCGGTTATGAAGCATATTTTTAAAGCCTTACATAGCACATTGATCAGGACCACTACCATAAAAGGCATGAGCAGAAACTGATCTTGAAATGAATTCATTGAATATGAGCTAGTAATCAGCACTGAAGCTCAAACATGAGGTATCTGAATGGGGATCTAAATGATGAGATAGACTTTCCACCTTTAGTGACCATGTGCTAAGAGCATACATTTGCCCTACTTGCTAGAGAGACTGGAGTACACAACACAGAACCCCTGCTCTGTGAGCTTAAATTCCACTCAAAGAGAAACCGGTACACAAAAATACCATTGGATGCTATGTCAGCTACTCTCGGGGAGTCCCACCAGGGGAAAGCAAGGTAAGGGACTCTCCTGTTGTTAGGCTGAAAGAAAAGTTGTTCCAGTGTCTAGATGGCAATTGGGAAAGGCTGTTGGGCCAAGCGCCACTTCGGCATAAATTTATATGAAGTAAGGAGTGTGTCATAGGCATTCCTGGGGGATGGACAGCTAAGGCAGAGTGCACAAGTACAAAGACCACGCGTCCTCTCCACGAGACATCTCTGAGCAAGGAAGACAGGGACAGGGACTCAGCTTGAGTACCCAACTGGGTTAGCCAGTTTCCTACCACTATCACAAAATTCCTGAGATCATTGGCTTTGAAAAAAGAGAAGGTTTTTTGGCTCATGATTTCAGACATTTCAGTCCCTGATTGCTTGACCCTGTGGCTCCAGGCCGGTCATAAAACAGAATGTTACAGTGGGAAGTATGTGGCTGAGCAATTGGTCCCCCATGGTAGGCAAGAAGCAGAAAAGGGGTAAGGAAATGGCTGAGGTCCCAATATAACCTAAAGGTCATGTGCCCAAGGACCCACTTCATTCAACTAAACCCCTACCTCCTAAAGCTCCCACTCGTGCCATCCCCTGGGGAATCATACATGTGGACTTGTAAGGGAAATTCAAGAGGGCACGCTGGAGTAGGGTGAGTAGGGGATGGCCCTACCACAGTCTTTTCTTTCAGCCCACACCACAGCATCAGCTAATAGCATAAAGTCATTCTCTAAAGGACACAAAGGCATCAGAACAGTGCTCATGAGCTACTGAAATAAGTACTCGCCCCAAACTAAGTGGCTTAACAGACACATATTTCTTGCTCACATTACATCTACTCCAGTCTTGTAGCTCTTTTAAGTGTTTTTCTTCCAAGATGCATCTCAGAGACCTGGTCCTTTCATCAGAGGTCTTCATCATCTCAGAGTTCTTTGTATCCAATTGCCTGGACAGAAAATGAAGCTGGGATCATATTTAAATTCTGTGAATGGGGCTGGAGAGATGACTCAGCGGTTAAGAGCACTGGCTGCTCTTCCCAGCACCCACACGGCTGTAACAACCATCTGCAACTCCAGTTCCAGGGGATCCAATGCCCTCTTCTGACCTCTTGCAGGCAGTGCATAACATGGGTGCACTTACATACATGCAGGCCACACACTCATACCCATAAAATAAAAATAATAAATAAAGATATTTTAAATTTCATCAATGAGAGCAAGTACATGACCCTACTTAGCTGTAAGGGATCTGAGCCGTAGACTCCTGCTGTGTGTCCAGAGACAAATAGAAACAGTTTGCACTAAGAAGGAAATCAACTGGACGTGTTCATGGGCTAGGGATGACTTTGTTTACGACAAAGTGGAAGAGAATAGGAATGTAGCGTTGTTCACCATAGTGGATCTTCTGGTCTCTAGACAAGGCCTGGGGTGCTCAGCACCCCTCCATCTCTTAGCCCTATGTGTAGAAGAGAAAGCCATTCAATGAGGCCAGATTCCTATGAACAGAGGAAATGGGTATCTAGATTGTAACAGGCCTTATCTAGAAATAGCATCTTTAGAGATGTAATTAGCCAAATTAAGATGAGGGCATGCTGGAGTAGGGTATGAGTATGGTATGGCCCTACCCCAGTCTGACCCATGTCCTTATAGGAACTCATGGAAGGACACAGACCACCACATAGACGTAGAGGCAGAGACCAGAGAGAAGTGTGACAAGCCAAGAAATGTCAGGGATGACTACCTATCACCAAACACTAAAGGGAGAAAGGGGAGAGCCTTCCTCACACCTTCCAGAAATAACCAACCCTGCCCATGCCCATGCCTTCATTTCACACATGAAGCCTTGGCCATGATGAGAATATATTTCTGTAGTATTGGTCCATCTAGTCTGTGGAGCTTTGTTATCACAACCTTAGGCAAATAATATAGCCAGTAAGCATTGGGGTGACTGAAATGATAGTTTAAAATCTACCAGTGCGCGCGCGCGCACACACACACACACACACACACACACACACACACGCACGCACGCACACACCTTCGATCCAGTTCAGCCCCCTCCTCATAGGAACAGATAAACTCAAGCCCTGAGAGCTCCAGGTAAGTTGGTAGGAGTCACAGGCAGGTAGATGCAGAAGTAGAGCACTTAGTGACCTTGCCATTCTCTGAAGGACAGCTGGCACCTGCCTGCTTTTCATAGCCTTATCTTTTCTTCCCAGGTGCATCAAGGTGATGGCAAATTAATTCTCTACCCAAGTAGGAATATCTTCCAAATTTGTTTTCCTAATGGGACCGGCCAAATACAATATCCACTTGGGCAAAGGGATGATCATATTGACACATAAAATGTTTGTGATTTGGGGCTGGGTTGTGGAGTTTGACTGAGGACTGTGTCCCCTGCAAGCCCTAGCCTTTCCTTAGAGGTGGGGTGTCCCGAGGTACTGCTTGTGCCTTAATAAACTCCCAGCTATCCATCAGGGAACCTGGCTATGCTCATCTCCTGCACAGAAGTTTCAAAGGTCACATACATTGTTCTGGAAGACAGTATCAAGAAAAAGATCCGGGGCCTCGTCAACAACTCTGGCCATGCCACCTTCTATGATGAAGGTGGAGCGATCTGGTAAGCTTGAGTCTTGAGTCCTTAACTCCTGGGTCAAGGAGAAGGTGTATGGTGGAAGTCTTATTCCAGTCTCCCTCCCTGTCTCTCAATGTGCTCATGTTGAAACAGGAAAAGGGTACTAGTATAGGCCCTGCCCTTGGAGAAGAGGCACAGCCTCCCTAGGGGTAAAAGCAGTTGTGAACTCTGACCACAGGCTGCTGACTTTACCTCTACACACCTCTCCAGAGTTGAACCTTGTAAGGATTACCTTAGAAAACCCTGGGCCCCTTTATTCCCCGGGCCTTGGTGTGAAGCTTTGCAGACATAGTACATACAGAATCCAGTGTCAAAAAAGTACCTCCTAATTCTTAAGTTCCCAGTTCTGGTAGTAGTGGAAACTTCATCTTTCCAGTTCAAGGTAATTCATCCACTTCAAACCATTTCTCGGCCCCCCCTGGGGGTGAGCAATGCTTTCCTTCCATGCTGAAGTGGATGTGGTATGGGACACATATTATCTTAGTTCAACTTACACTTTCATGGAAACTTCTCCCCTCTCAAGGCCTTAGTTCCCAGAACTATTTTCTCCACTATGAGCCCCTCAAACACCATTTCCTGGTTGTCTTTTTTTTTTCTAGATAATATCTGTTCTCCTTCGAGGGTCATGTGCATAGAAAATGTCATCCCCACAGTCAGGGCCTGGGCATAGGAAGCACAGGGCCTTTGGGAAAGAAACTATGTTGTCACAAATCTTATCAGGTGACATGCAGTGGGGTCCCTTCTCTCTAATGACACCACTTTTGAGCCAGAAGAGAACTTGAAGAAATCCAAGAACTGGTCATTGTATTGATGAAGAAAGTTGAACTTAGAGGGTGATAATCACTTGCCCTGAGTCTAAAATAAAATTATATACAGGGGGTCTGGGACATTTTGACTCTGCCTAAAATAAAATGTAAGTTTTAAAAAGGATCAAATAAAGGTTACAATCTCAAGGCCTTTCAGCTCCCAAAGAACAGGGAGATGGTCCCAGAGGGATTGTGGGCTGATCTCATCCTCAAGACTTTGCTGTATAGGTCTGGGGTAGGGCCTGGAAATATGACTTCTATTTTTCTTTTGGCCAGCTGACCTGAACTCGCTCTGGAGACCAGGCTGGCCTTGATCTCACAAAGATCTGCCTACCTCTGCCTCCTGAGTACTGGGATTAAAGGTGTGTAACACCATGTCTGGCTCGAAATATGCATTCTTTTCAAAATATTTTATTTAATGTGTATGAGTGTATTGCCTGCATGTATGTAAGTACACCCATACCATGCAATGCCTGTGGAGGTCAGAAGGGGGTATCAGATCTCCTGGAACTGAAGTTACTGAGGGTTGTTAGCTGCCTTGTAGGTACTGATAACCAAACCTGAGTCCTCTGCAAGAGCAGCCAGTGTTCTTAACTGCCGAGCCATCTCTCTAACCCTGAAATGTGCATTCTTTAAATGTATTCCAGGTGATTCTGTGGTTCAGCCAGGTTTGAACACCAGGCCACGGTTCCTCCACCCTGCCTTTAAAGCTATAGAAATCCTTTACCACTGCCCTATCTTCCTGGGCTTCAGAGCCCTCACAGGGCCATAAAGATTGAAGACATCCTCTCACTGAAATCCACAGGAAGGTACAGTGGTATATACCTTTAATCCCAGCACTTAAGAGGCAGAGACAGATCTCTATGAAATCAAAGCCAACCTGGTCTACATAGAGAGTTACAGGCCAGCTGGGGCTCCAAGAAGACCCTGTCTCAAAAAATATCCACAGGGAGGGGACTTCAGTCCTCCATCCAGGTCAGGAGTTGGGCCAGATATGCCAAAACCTCATACCTTTCCTTGGATTCTGGAAAAGCCTTGACTTTGTGAAGAGATGGCCCAGGTGTCCTGTCCTGAGGAACAGCAATGGCCAGTGATTTAAAGTCCATCCTCCCAGCACAGCCTTCTGTGGAAGCCTCAGTCACAGGCTTCACGGCCAGTGAGCTCCCTGATGTCTCCGCACAGGCAAGGCTGGCTGTTTAGAGAAGTGAATACTTCCAGGATCATTTTCATGCTCATTTCTGCAGGAAAGCAAGAAGGCAGAGCTGCTTTTGGCAGGGCATGTGGAAGCTGAGACCCAGACCCGGACCCTCCTCATTCCCAGGCTCCCACCAGACCTAGAGCTCCTATACCACAAGGAGCTTGGGGCCCTCAATGGGAAGTCTACCTGCCCCATAATCAGGGTCTTCATGTCCCAGGGCAAAACCTGCAAATTCTTCCCATCTCTGGGTCTCCTAGGATCTATCTCTTTGGGGGCCTCGCCCCCAAGTTGGGCACCTAAGCAAGGTCTAACACTAACCTCCATATGAGAACTCTTGATTGGAACCACTTCAAAGATTAAAACGCTAGCTGAGGTCTGAAGAGGATTCCTCTCTACCTTCCTGTCTGCCTCTGGTAATAAGGAAATTTTAGTATTTTCTAAGATAATTTCTATGTCTAAACATTTAATCCTTATACAACCCTATGAATAAAACGGGGCATAAGAATCTGCTTTACGGACAGTGGGAAGCAATTGATTGATACAGGATTAGAGAGTAGTCAGAAGCCCTCCTTTTAAGTAGTAGGGCAGTCCTATCAGGCACAGGCCTCTCTCCCTTGGGCCAAATACAGGATGTTCCTTGGCAGTGATCTGATGGGTTTCTAAGTATTTCAGGCCACCCTCTGATTAATTCAGGTCTCCCTCCACATCATTCCAACCCCCATCCCATTCTCCAGGGACATGGTACAGATTCAAGGGATAGCCCTACTAGGACTGGAAAAGCAAAAGTCAGGGTCATAGGATGTGGTGGGGATGAAAGGCCAAAAAAGGAGTATAGGGGTGAGTGAAGGAGAAGCTCACCCAGCCTCCATGGTCTGGACACCCATTCATTTGGGTGCTGGGACAGGACTGGGTGGTGGAAGTTCATCAGAGCACCCCCAGACAAGTCCCCTACCTTTGGGGAGTCATATTTACTATTCATGGCAGTTTGGGTCTATAAAGTCACTGAACGCACTATGTTATCCAATACTGACCACCACTCCTATGGATGATCTGCATGCATGTGCCCTAGCACACACATGTGAAAGAAAACTATTGCCAGTGGACATAGAGAGTCCTAGAAGAACAAGGAGGGGCCCCTTGAAGAAGGTGGCATTTAAGCTAAGACCTTCAGAATACACAAATATCAGCCAGATCCCATAGGGTGGAGGAATTTGACATGAAGATCAACATAGCAAAGCCGGAGGAACAGGAAAACATAGGAACAAGAGAGACTGTAAGAGGGTGGTGCTGTGCTGTGTGAGGCGAAGAAGGGTCTGAAGGCAGTCTAGTCTTGGGCAGGCCTTCCTTGATGGAGCCTCTCCAACTCAAGACCTTGTAGACCCAAGAGGAAAAGGGAAGGGGAGAGGGAACTGGGGGTCTGACACAGGAGGGCTATACTCCAGGCCCTAGCACTGCAGTGCCTGACACACCTTCTTCTCCCAGGGTGAATCTGAGCAAAATATTGGGCTACTACTTCCCCAAAGACAAACACCAAAAAGCCTGGAACTGGTGGAATCTGAACCTCCATGTCCATGCACCCCCTATCAAGTGTCTCACCTTGAAACTCAACAAGTACATCCAGATCCAAATAAGAAGCCAGGACAAGGTCATCTTCAGCTTCTTACCCCCAAAACAAAGGCAGGTTCACTTAAACCTGGGCACCAAATTCAAGGTAAAAATCTTCACTCCTTCTAATACCCTCTGGGTGGGATGCCTACCTACACCCAGGCTCTTGAGGGATTAACCTAGTCCTTAACACAGGCCTCAGGTCATGCTCTGAATCAGGCCTATCCCTAATAAAACAAGGCTACCAGATTCTGCATTAGTTACTTTTGCATTTGCTGTGACCAAAATACCTGACAGAACAATTTAAAATGGGGAAAGATTTATTTTTCTCACAGCTTCATAGGTATCAGTCCACTACAGAGGGAGGGTGTGTGCTGGAGCAGAGTAGATCACATTACAGTGGCCAGGAAGCAGAGAAAGGGAATATGAGAAGAGATCAGGGAAAATATATAGCCCCAAGGACACTCCAGTGACCTACTTCCTCCAGCTAGGTCACACCTCCTACTTTTCAGCATCCTCCAATAATAATGCCATTATATTTTGAATCTGTCAAGGGATGAATTCATATCTAAAAACACATCACAGATACACACAGAGGCGTGTTTTACTAGTCTCTTAAGCAATTCTCAGTTTAATCAAGACGGCAATCAAGATTAACCATCTCACCTAACTTTACTTAGTGCTTAGCCATAGACACATGCACTCATGTAACATCCCAGAGCCACAAGACTGAGCACCAGGGAAATTAATATTCTCAAAAGCATCCTATGAACCAGAGACCCAAGATGTCAGCACTCATTGGCTCACTTTATCACAGCAGCCCTGTCAGAAGTCAAGGCCAGATGCTCCTCAAATGCATTTATATCCTTCCCCCCAAAAAAATGACTGCTCCAAAGCTTGATGTGCTCTTCTCAGGCTGGGCAGGAGAGTCACACTAAGGTGAACATTTCTAGAGCTGTCATAACAAGTTTCACCAACTAGGAAGCTTGAAAGAAGTTTACTCTACAGTTCCAGGGGCTCCTAGAATGAAATCAAAGTGTTAGTGAAATACCACCCTCCAGAGGCTCAGATGAGGGTCCTTTCTTACCACTCCCAGCTCTGGTAGCTCCAGGCATTCCTTAATTTGAGGTGGCAGAACTCTAGCTAAATTAAACTGTGAAAATATGATCTACGGCCAGGAGTGGTGGTGCACGCCTTTAATCCCAGCACTTGGGAGGCAGAGGCAGGCAGATCTCTGTGAGTTCAAGGCCAGCCTGGTCTACATAGCAAGTTCCAGGCCAGCTGGGGCTACAGAAAGACCACGTCTCAAAAAGATGAGAGAGAGAGAGAGAGAGAGAGAGAGAGAGAGAGAAAAGAAGAGAAAATATGATCTATAGAGTGAGACAGGAATGTGGTAGGTGTCTAGCTGCCCCAGTTTGCCCAGACCAAGGAATTTCTAGAACATGGGAGTTTGAGTGCTAAAATTCAAGAAGTTCCAAGTAGGCATCAGCAACTGGTCATCTTGTGTTCCCTTCCTAGGAAAGATGTCATTTTTCAGGCTGAATTAATGGTGTCCTGACATTTTCATCTACCCCTGGATTTACTGAGCAACTGTTCTCATAAAGGAGAGGGCAGTACTACTGTTCCAAGTCATTTAGTCACACTCTGTCACTCCCAAGTTGCAGAATGGGTAGCTCACTCTGGATAGGGCACTGTCCTTAGAATGATGGTGGGTTTCTCTGAGGAAAGAGAAAGAACCAAGAAAGGAAGACTGTGCCCAGGAAGGGTTGACACAGGCAGAGTGGGAGGGAGGCCTGACAGGCCTGGGGAGACAGGGCACCTGATGAAAGCTGGGCCAGAGAAGGGGTGCCGATGAAACAAGTCAGCACAAATGTGACTAGTCAGAGTGCAAGGAAGGAGAGAGAGCTGGGCTGCAGTGACCTCAGGGTTAGCCCACGCTAGCAGTCAGGGGACCCTGGGCAGAATGTGCCCTTCCACACCCATCTCTTCACGTCCTGAGTGATACTTGTCCATTGTCCTAGCCTATGAGCTTCTGTCAGAGGGACACAGGTTGTTATTAGACTATGCATGTAGACTTTCCATAAGCTGAAAAATCTCATAGCAACAGAACACATTGGCATCATCCTTTATAATTTTCTCCTCCAGAGCTTCCTACAAACCAAGGCAGATGTTGACAGTCAGGTGGCCCCATTAAGGCAAGGCTTCTTCTTAACAAAATCCAGATATACTTCTAGGAAGTCCAAGATTGAAGTGGGTCTTGCTAGTATATACCCCAAAGTCACCCAGCCCTGGAAAGGGCTTAGCTCAGTCCTGGGTTAGGGAAACCATGGATGAGAAGCTGAGTACCAGAGACCCCAGCATGTGGAAGGCAGGCCACACCAGCCACAAGGGTTGGCTCCTCTCTAGTTTGACAGGTGAGCCGTGTGTCAGCCCACATCACCATGGTCAATGTGACCACAGGCACAGGTGAGGCAGGCATTTGGGACCCAGCAAGGAAGCTGCAGGTGGCAAGACTGAGGAATCAAATCTGCCTTTGAAGGTGAAGGTTCCAGGGACATTAGTCATCACCACAAGGGATCCAAGCCCTGGGTGGAAGTGTGGCCTCCAGTGAAGGGTTCTCACTCCACCTTCTATGCATCCCACAGTTTATAAACTCGAAAGTACTAAAAGCCATGAGGAAGAAAACTGTCCTGGAGATAGACCCCTACCCAACATCTTGGAAGATCCAAATCCTTCTGGGAAAAATAAGTCAAATCCTGAATGACCTGACCATCTCTGACTTGGAAGACTTCACAAGGACCACCGAGTTGACACTCAAGTACATCAGGGCAAAACGATCACAGATCTGATTTTAGAACAGCCACCGAATTGTCTTGGGCTTCCACTGAATGTCTTGGGAAAGGGGAGTCCTCAGGAGCTACAGGGAAACCCCTAAAGACCTGTTCATGTCTTTGAGAGTTGGTTTATAGTTTAGGCCTGGCAACTCCCTGGTTGGGGGGGGAAAGAATTTGAGGAAGGTCAACAGAATCTGTGCCTAGGCACAGAGAAAGCTTAATGGTCAGCTCTGACCTGACCACTTAAAGACACGTTTTCATCTCAGTAACGCTGGACACTAGTCACCATCTGTTCCCCTTGCTCCCATCACTGCTGTGTGGTTCTTCCAATGCTGTCAGGACTGCCAAATTCTGTCCATCATTATCTGTGTGCCTTTGGGCAATCAGCTTTATGCCCCAGTTTCTCCATCTGTAAAATGGGCCTAGAAATAGTACCTGGCACAACAGAGTTGAGAGTGTTTAGTTTGTGCATATAGTGTCCCAATAGTGAATCCACTCAGTAAGCATTACCCCAGTTACTGGTAGCTTGGCCCCTCCACATAGTTAAAATGCGCATCTCTTAAGTACGGCTAGGTGTCTGCACTTTCCTTGGTGTACGGGATCAGGCCATCAGCTTTCCTGGGTTCTTCCTGACATGAATAACTACCATGTCCTAAGTCTGTGCCATGAACCTGGTATGCCTTGTGCTAAGCACTGTAAAAGTTCTATCTCACATGTCTCTGTGTCATGGGTGGTATTTTTCTTGCAGACACTGAGGCCCAAAGGGGCACAGTGACTTCACATTCTATAACCCATCTGTCTACAAAATGGTATCACTCTTGCAACAACATGTTTTTTGTATGATTCCTTACCCCAAGTCATCCCAAAACCCCAAGGCCACCCCAAAGACAGCTGCCCTTCATCTGTGGGGAGCCGCCTGCCGTCCCTGCAGACGCCATTACAAGATGGCGCTCACATCCGGTTCATGCTGAGCTAGACATACACAGGTGCCAAGGATCCAAGTGCAACCGATTATGACTAGTTACAATCAGATACATACAGATTAGAGATGAATGCGCCAGCATCTCAGTAGCAAAAACAATGAGTCTTTCTGCAAGGAACAATATATTCTAAAATGAAATGGAGATCTTTTTTAAAGGTTAAAAAC